CATGAGGGAATGACTCAACATAGAAAACCAGAGTGTCTGCCTTATGAGCTCTAACCCCAGAGCCCCCAATCCTGGCTTCTGCTCACGCAGCTCCAGTCCACTCTGCCCTCCCTCTGCCAGAGCACAAGTTTGGGTACCCTTCTCAGTTCTGGTGCTTTCTGCTCTGGGGCCCAGCTTGGGGATTAGACCACAGAGTTCTCAGTGGCAATTTCCCACAGCTGAGATATCTCTCTGGAACTTCAGATGTTGTTTCTGGGAGCCAGACCAGGCCTTTTGCACCTCCGCCCCTCCTGTCAGTCTCTATGCAGTCTCCACTTTCGGTCCTCGGTTATCAGGTTTCTCTTCAGCGAGTCTTCTGTTGATTATTCAGGAAGTTTGTCTGTATTTTAGTTGTCATTCCAGTTTTGTCCTGGGGGTGTGTCCGTGTAGCATCCACTTACTCCACACCAATTTTATTCCCCTAAAGATAGTATGGTGCAGAGCACACAGCCCAGGAGGGTGCAGGAGTGGAGGGGCTGGGAGAAGTCATCACTTGGAAAAAGTGATGTGTAAGCGAGACCTAAGGGGAAAGTAAGAATTAGTAAAGAAAGGTGCTAGGGTGGGGGTGCGGTATGTGTGGGTGGGTTGGAGATGGGGACAATGGAGCTTTTTCCAAGTTCACGGATGAAGAAACCAGAGACAGTAGGAAAAGTTTGAAAATAGTTAAGCCTCCCCACTTTTTTAGACCACTTGTCCTGAATTACAATTCTTTATTGTTCTCAAATAAACCCATCTTGCTGGAAAAATATCTGGCTGTGTATTTCTATAAGGTCAATAGTTTCTTCTACCAACTAGGAGATACCTCTACCAGCAGCAGCAGCAGCAGCAGCAGCAGCAGCAGCAATGAGGCCTAGTAAAAAAGATGGGAAAGGATCTTTTACTTGAAATCTTAAATTTTTAATATTATGAAAACATTCCTCTATCATATTTATATATCTTATGGATGATAAGTAAATAACTATTAACTATTTGAAAGCAAGGTCAGTGAGATTCAAGGTTTTTCATATTAGTTTGGGTTTTATATAAGATGTACATGTTTTTAAATAGTGCTGAAGTCTCTCTGGGAATTTTGAAGTCCTTTATAATCTTAGGTAGGGAAAAAGTCAATGAACTACAAAAAATGCTGAAGCCTACTACCCCGTTTGCTAGACGTGTACAAACTTAGGTTTACCAAGTCCACATTAAAATGATGATTTAACTTACAGTGTGATTCTCATTCTTTATTATTTCATTGTGAAGATCATTTATATTTAAATGGCTGCATTTTGTTGCTACAGATGTGTGACATATTTGTTTGGAGGGAATGTCAAGAAAAGTAAATGCTTAGATATGGTTAGGTCTGCATTGTTAAACCTATTTGGCATTTGTATAATTTAAAAGATGCTCAGGTAAAACATTAATTAGATTTCCATGCTCTGCATTACCAGTGTCTGGATATACTATTTAAATGTTTGCTATTTGGTTACTTGGATATATTTTAGAATATTCCAGAAATGTGTGTTAGTATGTTTGTTGCTTTGTAATAGTTTTACCTTAATTTTTATTTGGGGTTTTTATTATATAGTGGTTGGTTAAAATGTCTCTCAAAGCTTTGTTTCTAATATGAGAGATATAAGAAAATAGTTTTAAGACAAAAGTGAACAGAGCTATGATTTGAAACAAATTGCCTGGGATTAATAAAAATTAGTGTCTAGTTTACAGTAAAACGCCTTTATTAACAAATACTTTAGTGCAGTGTTGAGTCTTACTTAGGGGCTCGGAGAAAATGTGTAACTTGATTGATCTAACAAGTAAACATTTGCTTTATGAAACGAGTGTTAAGCAGTGTTAAGGATTTAGATGTGGATATTGAAAACCACTATGTTTTTTTGTAAAAAAAAAAATGCAACCAACTTATTGTATTCTGGCTGTACTTTAATTTCTAAATTGATTTAAAGTAAACAGTATGGATCTGAATGAAGTCGTCTAAAACAGCAGGAGATAGGCTAGTAATTACTCTTTGTAGTAGATTATTTGGAGCAGTGAATGCTTTAATTGGAAGTCAAATACCTATAAAGAGATGACAGTTCATATTAGTTCATAGTTCATTTTTAGGAATGTAGAGAAGGTAATTACTATGTGAAAGTTATCAGCTGAGGCTTGTCTTTTGGGGGAGAGTGTGAACGGTGTTAAAATGTCTGATTCCAAAGTAAAGTTAACAGATTTGGTCAACTTTGATCACTTAACCTAATATAACTTTTCTGTGTAATAAATTTATGTGTAACTGTACAGAAATTAAAAAAAACACATTTCAGATGTGTTCCCAAGTTATGTTACTGGATATTTCTTTAAGATCAATCAGACTTTCCTTCCCTATTGAACAACTGTGTTCTGGCTGCCTAGACAAAAACAACGTTGTACAGGTCTAGCAAACAGGACAGTAGGCTTCAATATTTCATTTTTAGTCCACTGACTTTTTCTTTCTTGGTAAGCATGTTGTGAAGATTAAGAACAGAAATGAAAGGTGCTAGTGTATTGGTATGGTTTCATTTGAAAATCACAATACATAACATAAAACCTTTTTTAAGTGGGCTCTCTCTGTATGTAGTAGGTATGTGTGAATAGGGTTTTCTGAGTTTAGGGAATATCTATAATAATAAAAGCATAATATGCTAATTAGACTGGACAGCCAAACAACCTTCCAGATGATGAAGCCACAGCGGTGGGGGCAGAGGCCGAGGCGGTTAGGGGCGATCAGGCATACAGGCGAGTGATTAGGGGTGATCAGTTTGGCAGGCGAGCAGTTAGGGCTGATCAGGCAGGCAGGTGAGTGGTTAGGGGTGATCAGGAAGGCAGGCGAGCAGTTAGGGGTGATCAGGCAGGCAGGCGAGCAGTTAGGGGTGATCAGGAAGGCAGGCAAGTGGTTAGGGGCAATCAGGCAGGCAGGTAGAGGCGGTTAGGGGTGGTCAGGCAGGCAGGTGAGCATTAGGGGCATCAGGCAGCAGGCAGAGTGGTTAGGGGTGATGAGGCAGGCAGGCAGAGTGGTTAGGGGTGATCAGGCAGGCAGGCAGGCAGGCAGGCCAGCAGTTAGGAGCCAGCAGTCCTGGATTGTGAGAGGGATGTCCAATTGCTGGCAGTCAGACATCCCTGGAGGGGTCCCGGATTGCAAGAGGGTGCACGCTGGGCTGAGGGACACCCCCCCCCCCCGTGCATGAATTTCGTGCACGGGGCCTCTAGTTTATATATAAAGAATATAGAACTATATTCTTGTTATCGCTCAGTTATGGTCCATATTTTAGAGAATTAAAGTAACTCATCAGGACAAGAGTTCATCCCTCTTGGCACACAGCAGAGCCAAACACCGAATACCCAGTTTTGCAGTGGTGAAAGTACAGTCATTTTTTTTTTTCAGACTGCTAAGCAAGAAAAACGGAAAGCTGTATTACTTAACACCAGATCTTCCAAATGACTTATCATTTGGGGCTTTTAAGGGCAAAAGTCATGAGTAAGGGATTCAGGGTCATGGGCTGTGTTGATTGGTCAATTTCTATGCAAGCTTCAGCAATCTGATTTATTCAGCTCCTAGTGGGAACCTGCCCTGGTCTAGTTAACTATGACTGTAGTTGAACAGAAAGAGAGTTATGTAAAACATCTTGGGTTTGATTGTGAGTCAGTTACATTATCTTAAGAACAGAAAGAAAAGAACAAGGCTATATATTTCATGCTTACCAGGCTATATTCTTCTGTCATCTTAAGCAGAGAATACCTTCTTAAACTTTCTTTACAGTCAGGCCTGCATACTCCAAGACATGACTACATTCCAGTGCAACTATGACTCTTGAGAAGGACTAATTTAATCATTTTAACTAACAGCTATATTCTAATATATCTAGTCTGTTATGATTTGCTGTTTCATTAATATCCATAATATGATAGAACTCTTATTCTAATAAACCTAATGCAAATTGTATCAGGAATATTTCATTAATTTTTCATGTCAGAGAAAGTGAATGCAGGAAAAAATTGCATATGCAAACATATATTACCTCAGTATACCATTAATGGCATATGCATTTGAAAAAAAGTCATGATTAATGGTATATTGAGATGATATATGTTTGCATATGCCATTTTGATGCAGTGTTAGGGAATGTTTTAGGTATGCTATGTATACGCAGATGGAGATTTTTAAATACATAAACTGCAACTCAGTCTGTTCAGTTGAGTCATTTAACTTGTATGAGAGAAAGAAGAATAATACTTGATTTTTATGTACAGGAAGAAATTGTCTTTTAACATTCCCTTTTTTTACTGGTTAACAGCTTGTGGGTAGGTGCAATATGGGATTATCATTACTTGGATACCTCAGGATATGAAAGGATTGACCAGAAAAAAATGTACAGGAAAATGTCAGAAAGCTCTAGGGAACAAACTATTTGATTGAAAATAGGCAAAAGGAACAAATTATCAATAGTTAGAGAAAGAGATCTTAGAAATTCAGTTATGCATTCTTGAAAGCAATGGCAAAATTATAGGATTTATTTGTTTGTACCATTCTCACTCCAAAAAGGATTAGAGATAAAGTGGATAGGTTATTTATCTTGGTAATATGGCAAGGTGGATGGAAGGGGAGAACCTGACTTTCTTACTACAAAGTTTTTCTCTTGTGTGGGTTTGCTGCCATCTTGTTCATCTGATTGAATAACATATTTGGGCAGCTCAGTGGGCGACTACATAATCTTTCCAATTCCTAACTCTAATGTTGATATCAAATAAGTATTCTCAATAGTACTTATCAAATCACTCCATTTACCCTCCTGTATCCTAGTAAAAATATCTTGCCTTAATAATGTCTGTACATGTAAACTTTTAAGCTTTTATTATGTAATAGGTCATAATATCAGTGTTATTAAATGTAATGAGTAATATTTTACTTTAAAGCTCTAATCTAGACTAAAACTTGCACTACTTTTTTTTTTTAGGACAGCAAGTAGAGGGGACTTCATGTTTTCTGCAGATCGTTTGGTAGGTGGAAGCTTTCCATTTTCATTTTATTGTTCGTCTTAGTGATATAACCATAGTAGGCCAAAGGTTTTTTTTATTATTATTTAGAGCATTCTGGGTGTGAGAGATTGTACCAAGTAACCACCATCTTGCTAGACTTCTGAAGTATTGTTTCTACTGTTGCATTAAAACTCTGTCTCAGTCCCTTTCACCTCAAAGCATTTTCCATAAACTCATTTTCTATAGCTCTCAGGTTCTCCCACCTCTCAAAATGATCTTGGTAACCTTGTCATAAGTAACCCTTAAATGCCTCATTTTAGGGCAGTAAAGTGAAGTACATTTAAAGAAAACCAAAGATGTAAGGAGACCTAGTAGTTAGTTACCCTGTGATATCCATCTAATGCACAAAAATTAATAACTCTCCTGTAGTTTACACTGGAGGAATTTATTTAGCCTCTTCTTTTCTGTACTATCCTTGCATGTGAAATATTGAGTTGGACTATCTACAATTTCCTCAGGGACTTTCTGTTAAGGGTTGACCAAGTTCAATTCTGTTTAGCTAGTGTGATCTGAGAGAATCTCAGACCAGATTGTGTTGTCTTCAGGGTAAATACTGTGTTTCCCTCTTATGTTTATATCTAAGTATTCTCAGTGCTTACAATGAGGTTGACACATTTTCTGCTGTGGTTATTAATATTCAGCCATTCCTGAAATATATATATTGAACTCCTGTAAATCAGGCACTGTGCTAGGCTGTGTTGCTGGGGGAGAAGATAGAGTAGTAAAGAATACAAGGCTTCTCTCTAGCTAGTCTTCAGTTGGTTTTTCAGGATGATTTTTTTATATTTTAGTTGTAATTCCAGTTTGGGCCTGGGAGGTCAGTGTAGCTTCCACTTAATTCTACACCATCTTGGAATCTCCCAGCAGTAAAGAATACAGACACATGGTCCCTGCTTTCATAGAGTTTACAATCTAAATATTATTGGCAGTATTGCATTTGGGAAAGAGAGAAAAGTAGTTTATTAATTTTCATTTACATTTTTCCTAGGAAAATCTTTATTTCAAAAGAGTATAGACAACTGTTCTACTTTTGGCTTTAAATATTCTTAGTTCAGAGGCAAATTCTGTTTACAATTATTTGAGTTTGTAAGGGCAGTAATAACCTTTGGATTTCATCTAGATAAATGTAATTGACGTTTCTGGAGTAATAGGTCATTATGTCATTATGCTTTTATCAAACTAAAGGAACAGGTTCAAGGAGGAAGGAATTTGTGTCAGTGGCTGCTGTGGGGAAAACAGAGGTCCTGGTATTCATTGGTAGAAAATGGTTCCTCTTTCCTTTCTTTGGTTCCTTCTTTTCATTTCTTTTCTTTTCTTTTCTTTATTTTTCACCTTTTCTTATGTCCTTTTTCTACAGAAAATAGGAGTTAAGTTTGTGGTTATTGTAAAATACTTACCAGGAAACATATGAAAACATGCTCAAAGTCACTAATCATCTGAGAGATGCAAATCAAAATGACAATTAGGTACCATCTCACACCTGTCAGAATGGCTATCATCAACAAATCAGCAAACGACAAGTGCTGGTGAGGATGTGGAGAAAAAAGAACCCTTGTGCACTGCTGGTGGGAATGCAGACTGATGCAGCCACTGTGGAGAACAGTATGGAGTTTCCTCAAAAACTAAAAATGGAACTCCCGTTTGATCCAGTGATCCCACTTCTAGGAATATATCCCAAGAAATCAGAAACACCAATCAGAAAGGATATATGCACCCCTGTGTTCATAGCAGCACAATTTACAATAGCTAAGATTTGGAAACAGCCTAAATGCCCATCAGCAGATGAGTGGATTAGAAAACTGTGGTACTTCTACACAATGGAATACTACGCTGCTATAAAAAAGAAGGAATTCTTACCATTTGCAACAGCATGGATGGAAGTGGAGAGCATTGTGCTAAGTGAAATAAGCCAGTCAGAGGAAGATAAATATCATATGATCTGACTCATATGTGGTATATAAAGAACATCATAAACTTATGAACAAAAATAGATCCAGAGACAGAGAAGCATTGAACAGACCATCCAACCTCAGAGGGAAGGGGGGGGCAGGGTGAGAGATCAACCAAAGGACTTGTATGCATGCATATAAGCATAACTCATGGACAGAAACACTAGGGGGTGAGGGCATGTGCTGGGGGGAGAGGGAGGCGGGGGGAGGTCAATGAGGGAAAAAGGAGACATATGTACTACTATTTGTAATATTTTAAACAATAAATTACTTAGCTGAAAGAGCAGGCATTATATCTTAATCGAATGAGATAACAAGGACCAAGGGCATAACTCACCTGAGTGGATGATAGTTGGGGCCTCTCTGGTCTCTGCAGATGATTGTATAGGTTGTGATATTGGGAGGTGTGGGGTAGAGCGTTTGTGTGGTTGTGGTAAGGAATGAAGTTGTTTAGGTTTCTAGTGTTGAATTTTTCTAGTACACTGTCTCTTCTAGGACAAGGATCCCATTATAGTTTACATTAATTATATCCTGAATTTATCAGGATTGGCTTCCCTAGCACTCAGATTTTAAGTTCTTTATATTTTAGTCACCCTTCTTCTGGTTTTATATTCTTCTATAAGACTTGGACACACGAATTTCTGTCCCAGAGTTGCAGGAGAGGTAAGACTCTTGGTTCTCAACCTTCCTAATGCCGTGACCCTTTAATACAGTTCCTCATGTTGTGGTGACCCCCAACCATAAAATTATTTTTGTTGCTACTTCATAACTGTAATTTTGCTACTGTTATGAATCGTAATGTAAATATCTGATATGCAGGATGTATTTTCATTGTTCGCGACCCACAGGTTGAGAACCGCTGTTTTAGAGGCATGTTACTAGAAGGAGATCTAGGCTCATCAAAGAAAAGGATCCTCTTCTTCCCTTGCAATCTATCTATATAAAAGGCTAATATGCTAAGTGTCCTTCCCACCTTCTGAATGGTCGCTATGGCACGCACTCACCACCAGGGGGCAAATGCTCAATACAGGAGCTGCCATTATGCACACTTGCCATTTACAGAGAAACGGCAGTGTGGACTTGGCCCACAAAGCAACACTCAGCTTCCCCCAAGTCGGACACAGGCCCCGCCACCACCCCGGAGCGACACCCCACCAAATCGCAGCTGAAGCTGCTGCTGAGACCCCATAGCCAGCCTGGAAATGGTAGCTGTGGGCAGCGGGTAATAACGTCACATAGCAACACCCGGCTTCCTCTCCCTAGAGACTAGCCCCCTTGCTATTTCTCCACCCCAGGAACATGACTTGCTTTATAGCCAGGTGCAAACACTTTACACTATAACCAAATGTCTATGAAGCGTTTTCCCATGCCTCATCTCATTTGATCCTCACAAAAGTCCTGGAGTAGGTAGATAGGAGACTCGGTGGAATCCTATTTTCTTTTCATTAGCTCAAAAATGGAGATTTAGAAAGCTTAGAAACTTGACCTGACTGAAAAGAAGTAATAAATGGTGGACCTTGAAAATGACTTCAGGTTTTCTCACTGCACAGAATATAGTCAAACACTGCTGCAGTTAAATATTTTACCCTTTGTTCTTCCTGCGTGATCTACAATAGTAATGTGTTTTGTGTTGATATTTACTGCTGTGTTGCTGACAATTACCTAAAAGAGAAATTGGGGTGCTTCACTGGGCTGGAAAAAGTTTAGCTAAATCAGAAAGTAGGTCTAATTAAGCAAGTTTATTCTATCCTATATAATAAAAGCCCAGCAACCGAATGGCGGAACGACCAGGGCCCCTCGCCCGGCTGGCCCTGCCCCCAAGCAGGCCTCCCCCACCCCGATCGAGGGCGGGGCTGGCCAGCAAGCCACCCACAGCCCTTTGCCCCAGCCTGTCCTGCCCCTGAGTGGCCCCCAACACCCCTAAATCACTGCCTGGCTCCCTGGTGCATGTACATTTAGTGAAAGCACAAGGAAATAATTATCAGTCTCTTCTGTCCCCAACCAGAGTCTCCAGAGGGCTCTGCTAATACTGCAGCCAAGGTGTGGAATTCTCCCTCCACGCCTGCAGCCCCAGGAGACCTTCCAAGTTAGCCAAAAAGGTGACCTAAGCATTAATGGGATGGCGGCCCTTTGCTGAGGAATGTAGAGAGGCTGGGTGGGGATTTGGTGAAATTGTGGGGCCTTGCAGATTAGATGAGCTTTCAATCTCTCTTTAAAAGGGGGCAGCGAAGAGGACCCACAGGCTTCCAGGAGCAACAGTGAAGAGTAGGCACATTCAAAAACAGAAAAACTTTTAAACAAATAGACATGAAGATCATATTGGGAAACTGAGCGCAAAGCCCTGGGATTAATGCAAAAATCATTCAAGGGCCATCATCCATCTTGATATACGTTCGCAAACAACACAGAAACAACTTCATCTCATGGCATGTGAAATGCAAAACAGTTCTGTTGTGGGTTTTCTTTTGACCATCCTTAAAGTATAATTAGATCCAGCGGGGGGGAAAGCTACAGCTTCCAGCATTAGACCCCATGGCCGGCCCTGCCCTATGGGCCCCCATTGGGGCAGGCCTGCCGGACCCAACCTGTGCACGAATTCATGCACCGGGCCTCTAGTGTATATATATAAAAGGCTAAGTTGAATCGTGCATGCTGGTACCAATAGCACGCATGTGATTCCATCTGTCATTGTTGATTGTGAATTTGGTTGACACTTCTATTATAAAGGGCGAATAGTGATATTAATATATTTCCTCTAATTAATTTCCTTTCAATGTGCACGAATTCATGCACCGGGGCACTAGTTTGCTCATAAGAAACATTAACCTCCACAGAAGTTGGTGGTTAGAAGTGAGTGTGCACACACCCAGTATTTATGAGGTTCCTGGACATTCTGTGTGGTGCTGCAGATTGATAAAGTGCTGGCCCATTTAGCATTGATACTTTTTTTTTATGTATAGGGTGTAATGTCACAGGAAGGCCATAGTATTCTGCCACCCGTGAGGAGTAAGCCCAAGTTGCTGTTGGATGTGTTGTACACAGAGAAGCCATTCTTCAGGCGCTCTGCTGTCTCCACACCCAATAGCATTGATACTTTTATTGGCAACAACAGGGTGTTGTGTTGTGACACCAGAGCATGGGGGCTGCATTTCTACCAGCTGTTTCTGATTCTCAACCAATAGTGTAATATTGATTGTAGAAAATAGTGTAATATTGATTGTAGACTCCAGGTGCTTGCTTATTGGAAGGAATATTGTATCTGGTTTTTGGAGGCTGTTCCTTGTAGTTCTGATGGATTCTTTTCTCTATTCCACACATTAAGATCACTAGGAGCCTTTATTGTTTAGCTGACAAACCTCAATGCATCCAACTGCTTCCTACCACTCATTGGCTTAACTCTATCCACTCATTTATTTCTTATTAAGAAGTTTCAGACTTTCTTTGGATTATGGTGGGCCTAGTTAAAAACAATCTAATTGAACAATTTCAAAGTACTGAACAAGGCAAAGAAGTTCTCTCTAGGCACTATTTCCAGAGTAACAAGAAGTTTATTACTTCCAAGGCTGTCTGCCATGACTCTTGTCACTTGCTGTAATTTTGAATCTCTTTTAAAATAGCCTGGACTGACTGAATGAGAATCATAAGGCATGCTCGAGTCTTTTTATTTTTGGGCAATCAGATGCCTAACCAGGGTTGAATACCTACTAACAAGCAGCCTGGCATTTGGATCTATCTCTATATCAGACACACGATAGGGGCCCCCTTCCTTCCTCCATAAGCTAAATCCTTGCCTAGTTTGTTTCTAAATTTTGTCTAGTGTTCAGCTCCAGATACTAACAGGTAACAAGAAATTCTTAGCAGATTTTCAACTTATTCTTTCTTTTACTTTCTAGATCAGACTTGTTGTGGAAGAAGGATTGAATCAGCTGCCTTATAAAGAATGCATGGTGACCACTCCAACGGGTAATCACAGCTGTTACTGTAATATTTTTCTCATAAAAATTCTGAGTTAGAATTGGGGGGAAATGGAAAAAAAAACAGTCTGCATAAATTAGTATGCAGAATGTGGAGTCGAGGTGGAGCTGTTCTTTTAAACAACTTAATAAACCTAGAGACATTTAGTAAAGAAATTTATGTGGATGACTTTTTGTTAATGGCTTGCTTGTCAATTTAAGTTAAGGGTTAATAAATATTCTTCAGCATGCAGGTGATGCCTTTGATGACAGCCCATTGGAACCAGAGTTAAGAATTGCTGGCAATTTATCTTCATCTCTGTGGGGAAGCAAATGGGTGGACTGGTTTGGCATTAAAACTCCAAATAAAAGGATGAGAAGTAAAAAAGAAAAATAAAAATGATGAGAATTAGAGAAGGTACTTTGTGCTACTAAAATAGAAAGCAGCCAAAGATCCTTGTTTCAGGGATTTAAAATTCTGGTTTGGTTTTTTAGTAAATGATGGTAGCTGTTCTATTCAAAGTTTGACACTAAATTGGGAGATGAGCTTGCTGCATAATTGAAACAGATTCAGGTTGAAACCAAGAGTTGTACATGTCTTGGTAATGATTTCTGTCTCTTTCTTTTGCTTTTAAAGGCAGAATGGAGGCTCATAAAAGGGACAGAATGAGGAGGCTCTCTGCTGTGGCTCACAGTGGGTGCTGGTTGAATTGATGGTGTTTATAGCATTCGTGGAGTGCAGTGATTCTCTGAATTCAATTTGAGGAATATGTTTGTGAATATTATGCTATCATATGTCCTATTCCCACTTGATGAAGTCCACCTCCCCCAATTATCCACACAGGTTTCTTATTAATAATTAAGAAATAACTATGAAAAGTCTTGACCCTTCTCATTACTTTCACAGGGAACCTAAGACATTATATAGTATGTCTGGACAAGGATTGCTCAGTACCCATCTGCTTTACACCATAGGGACTTTATAAAATAAGTAGGTTGTTCCAATGATGAAAGATACATTCTTTGGATTTATTTTCAACAGGGTACAAGTATGAAGGAGTGAAATTTGAGAAGGGAAATTGTGGCGTCAGCATTATGAGAAGCGGTAGGTTCACATATGTGTGATATTGTCCATTTGCATGCATATAAACACTTGCTGTTTCCCAGGAGAGAAATGAGATTTTCTGTCACAATTGAAGCATGCTTTAGCTTAAATCTCACTGTGTTGTTTATCCTCATGGTGCATTGGAATCATGGCCTGTGTGTTGCTGAGTTTGGCTAATTTTAACTGCAGAGCATCTTCCCTAGTGGCCTGCCCCATGGGCAAGCCAGCTGGTAGGAATGTAGACTGGTACAGCCACTATGGAAAATAGTATAGAGTTTCCTCAAAAAATTAAAAATTGAACTGCTATTTGACCCAGTGGTCTCACTTCTAGGAATATATCCTAAAAGTTCTAAAACACCAATCAGAAATTATATATGCACCCCTATGTTCATAGCAGCGCTATTTACAATAGCTAAGATCTGGAAACAGCCCAAGTGCCCCTCAGTAGATGAGTGGATAAAAAACTGGTGCATTTACAACATGGAATACTGTGGTATAAATGTACCACCACAGCAGTAAAAAAAACAAGGATCTCTTACCCTTTGAGACAGCATGGAAGGACCTGGAGAGTATTATGCTAAGCAAAATAAGCCAGTCAGAGAAAGACAAGTATCACATGATCTCACTTATATATGAAATCTAATGAATACAATAAAGCGATGAATAAAATAGAACTAGAAGCATGGATACATGGAACAGACTGTGATGAATCTCAGAGGGAAGGGGGAAGGGAGAGTGGAAAGAGATTAACCAAAGAACTTACATGTATATATGCCTAGCCCATGGACACAGACAATAGATAGGTGAAGGTCTGGGATGGGGTGGGAGATGGGTAGAGGGGGACAAAAGGGGGAAATGAGAGATATCTGTAATACTCTCAAGAATAAAATAAATTAAAAAACACACACTGTAGTACAAATATACAATGGAATACTATATAGCTGTAAAAAAGGAAGGATCTCTTACCCTTTGAGATAGCATGGAGTAACCCGAAGGTTATTATGCTAAGCAAAACAAGCCAGTCAGAGAAAGACAAATATTGCATGATATCACTTATATGTGGAATCTAATGAGCACATTAAACTGATGAATAAAATAGAATCAGAGGCATGGATACATGAAACAAGAGTGACAAATCTCAGAGGGAGAGGGAAAGGGAGAAGGGAAGAAATTAGCCAAAGAACTTATATGCATATTAGTGGCCCAGGGCATGGATTTGTGCACATTGAAAGGAAATTAATTAGAAGAAATATTTTAATATCACTATTCACCCTTTCTGTATAATAGAAGTATCAGAGATGAAAGAAAATTAGCAAAATGTATCCTACATAATAAAAGGCTAATATGCAAATTGACCGAATGGCAGGATGACTGGTTGCTATGATGCGCACTGACCACCATGGGGCAGATGCTCAATGCTGGAGCTGCCCCCTGGTGGTCAGTGTGCTCCCACAGGGAGAGTGCTCCTCAGAAGCTAGGCTCACAGCTGGCAAGCGCAGCGGTGGTGGCAGGAGCCTCTCCCGTCTCCTCTGTAGGTGGGTGGTAAGGAGCGAGGGGTCCCGGACTGCGAGAGGGTGCAGGCTGGGCTGAGGGACCCCTCCCCCTCCCTCCAGTGCACAAATCTTGTGCATCAGGCCTCTAGTATGAAAATAATATATAAATTGATTAATAAATAAACAATATGAAAATGATGTAATAACAACAAAGACATGATATAACAACACCAAAACATGATATAAAAACAACAAAAACATGATATAAAAACAACATTGATAAAAACAATTACTGATAAATTGATTAAACCTATTCTTATATCTCCCTGTATACCACATTAACAGTAAAAACACTTTCAGAGTGCTTGACTAATTTTCCTTATGATGAAGTATTTACAACTTTAACTTTAATGTCACACGCTCTTTGAACTCAAGAGAAAGCAACATATAACTGACCATGTCCAAAAACTGGTTCAGGTAGGAAACTCTGTCTAGAGTTTGTCCTTGTGATTTATTAATAGTCATAAAAAATGCTGGCATTACAGGAAACTGTCTTCCAATTAGTTTAAATGGGAGGCCAGTGTCAGATGGGGACAAATCAATTCTTGGAATCAGAACAACCCCTCCTTTCGCAGATCCTGTTAATACAGGGGTGGGCAAACTTTTTGACTCGAGGGCCACAATGGGTTCTTAAACTGGACCGGAGGGCTGGAACAAAAGCATGGATGGAGTGTTTGTGTGAACTAATATAAATTCAAAGTAAACATCATTACATAAAAGGGTACGGTCTTTTTTTTTTTTTTTAGTTTTATTCATTTCAAACGGGCCGGATCCGGCCCGCGGGCCGTAGTTTGCCCACGGCTGTGTTAATACTTCAGCTTCGATTATGTTAGGTTGCAATCTTTTGATAATAAATCTAGTACCATTTTAAAGACCCCATTTATTCTTAAGATTTCTCAGTAGCATGATGATTGCACCAACTTTCAATTTTAATTTATGACATGGCATTCCCGAAGGAGTAATACTATTAAGAAATTCAATGGGAGCTTTATATGTATCGCGCATGCGCAAATCAACATTTATTTTTAAATTGCCAGTGCACATCATATGTACCTGCCGGTCAGTCGAACAGTTGGACAGGTGGTCAGTCACTTAGCCTTTTATATATATAGATATGCATTGCCCATTAACACAGACAATAGGGTGGTAAAGGCCTGGGGTGGGGTGGGGATCAGGTGGTGGGAGCAAGGGGGGAAAAAGGTGGGGCATCTGTAATACTTTCAACAATAAAGATTTAACAAATATTCAGGGGAGGATGGGAGGATAGGAGGATGCGATAATGCTGTCTTGGGGAGAAGAGAGCAGCTTGAAGACTTATGAATGATGGTACAATTTCAAATCCACAGAACTTTGCATACCGGGCTGGAGAAAATTTTTTTTCTGTTTTTTATTTCTTTTGAGCTGGACTGAATGACCTGTTTAGTAATTTTAGTTTTATATTTGATGAGTATGTGACCATGTAGGCAAATTCACTTAACTGTCATTAACTCTAGGTATTTACAGTTTTTGCTGGTCTCATAAATACTGTATTTGGTTTGAGTACAACTGATTACCCTTATAAGCTAACCTTTGTGCAGTAAAATTACATGCCTGCAATTAGAAGCTATATGTGTTACATAGGGATGATTATTTCTATTTAGCAATTTAATTATTTTTTTTTTCACAAGATACAGGGTACAGTGGAAGCCCCACTTGCTTGCAATGGAAACAGATGGACTTTAAAAACACACACACATATTAACACTAGAGGCCTGGTGCATGAAATTCGTGCACGGGGGGGGGGGAGTAACTCTTCAGCTCAGCCTGCACCTCTTCATTCTGGGGAACCCTGTGGGATTG